ATATATACTGTACACATACTATATGTATAATACATTTGAGTAAATGTAAATGTATATATATATACTCCAGCACTAAGTATTTCCCCTGAGCTAATTTAGTTTCATTTAGCACTTTATTTAGCCAGCAGATTTCATCTGTCGTCTCTGTTCTTCTAATTCAAACCCCTCTATTATTAACTGCACTTCCTTACATTAATAAACATCAGCAGCTTTCAAATAATCTCCACAAGTGACACGTACAGGAGACCGAAGCTGCTAAAGGGAAAAAGCGTCTCTCTCTCTCTCTCTCTCATCTCTCTCTCTCTCCTCTCTCTCTCTCCCTCTCTCTCTCTCTCTCTCTTCTCTCTCTCTTCTCTCTCTCTCTCTCTCTCTCTCTCTCTCTCTCTCTCTCTCTCTCTCTCTCTCTCTCTCTCTCTCTCTCTCTCTCTCTCTCTCATCACACTAAAGGTCCTCCAGTGCTGCTAAATAGATTTGCCATTTAAAAAGCAGATAACGTTGCCTGTTTCAGTCTGGGGGTCAAAGAAGAAACATCATCATCATCCAGTCCAAGAGAATAATGAAGACGTTTTATACGCGTCTTGTTTTTTCTCGTCTAGGCCGTGCGTTCACTTCTGGCCGTAATCACGACTGAAAAATGAGCGCCATTTCGCTCTAACGGCATTAGCACGCGCTACACGCAGACATATTTGTACTCATAATAATTTTTTTAGGATCGGGTTTCGGCTTAACGAGGTGAGCACGGGCTGGGGGGGTTCAGGCTGGACGATAACCTCGTTTGCGGGAGTTTCGGCGCGGAGGTTAAGGCCCAGACGAATGGGTTTCCTCTTACGCTTCGAGGTCTCCACCATCCTGAGGCCAAGACATCATTACATCATATTAATGGGCTCCAATCGGATTAAAGCCGGGCTCTCGTCTGTCAGGGGGGAAAACACCGGGCCGAGGAAACCGTCCGGTTCAGGACTGCGTTAAAGTCATCATTTCATCCCTTAAAACTCATCTTTGATCACCAAAATGACATATTTAAACGTTTATTCATTGAAAAATGCCTTCAAATATGTTGAATGTAACTCGACACCCTTGCCTCATTTAGCATTCGCGGTTTCTATTCATCAAAGAATTCTGAAATAAATATGTAAATAACAGTTTTTTTCAACATTGATAATAATCATAAATGTGTCTTGAGCATCAAATCATCATATTAGAGTGATTTCTGAAGGATCATGTGACACTGAAGACTGGAGTAATGATGCTGAAAATTCAGCTTTGATCACAGGAATAAATTACACTCTACTATATATTCACATAGAAAACAGATGATTTACACTGTAATAATATTCCACAATATTACTGTTTTTACTGTAATTTCGATCAAATAAATGCAGCTTTGGTGAGCAGAAGAGACTTCTTTTAAAAACATTAAAATCCTACCGATCAAAAGCTTTTGAATGGTCGTGTACACTCTACTGTACAATAGTAATATATTTCTGTCATAATTTCTCCAAGTTAAGCCAAACTTTTATTTAGCGGGTTTTAGTGCGTGTGCTTGAGTAAACTGCGCCGCTCGTTCACAGCAGAGTTCAGGTCTTTCTGCGCTTTAATACTCACAGACACTAGTCCATATCGCAATCTGATTCACTGCACAGCCCTACCTTTGATTTATTCATCCACAATTGGACAAATTCCATGACATTCCGCATTATACAGTAAACTACATTATAAAACGCATAGTTCCGGTCCTTGATTCTGATTGGTTGAGCCGCATTCAAAGCTGTTGTAAATGACTCAACAAACACACACCTGTGACCCCATTACATTAGTGTTACACACACACACACACACACACACACACACACCTGTGAGCGCATTACATTAGTGTTACACACACACACACACACACCTGTGAGCGCATTGCATTAGTGTTACACACACACACACACACACACACACACACCTGTGAGCGCATTACATTAGTGTTACACACACACACACACACACACACACACACACACACACACACACACCTGTGAGCACATTACATTAGTGTTACACACACACACACACACACCACACACCTGTGAGCACATTACATTAGTGTTACACACACACACACCCACACACACCTGTGAGCACATTACATTAGTGTTACACACACACACCTGTGAGCGCATTACATTAGTGTTACACACACACACACACACCTGTGAGCACATTACATTAGTGTTACACACACACACACACACACACACACACACACACACACCTGTGAGCGCATTACATTAGTGTTACACACACACACACACACACACACACACCTGTGAGCACATTACATTAGTGTTACACACACACACACACACCACACACACCTGTGAGCGCATTACATTAGTGTTACACACACACACACATCTGTGAGCACATTACATTAGTGTTACACACACACACCCACACACACCTGTGAGCACATTACATTAGTGTTACACACACACACCTGTGAGCGCATTACATTAGTGTTACACACACACACACACACCTGTGAGCACATTACATTAGTGTTACACACACACACACGCACATTACATCAGTGTTACTGCGCAACTGCCGTGTGTGATGCTTTGTTGCTGCATGTGTTGCTTGGCAACCTCTTTGGAACTACATTGCTTGGCGGAGGAATAAATGTGTTTATTTTATGAATAAAATGAATATTTTTATGGAGTAACTGTTTTATAAAAGCAATTTGAAGCCGTGATTTACAGTGGATTTAGGGTGTTTTAGGCGCTCCGCTCCGCGTCGTAGCTAACAACGCCCCTCAGCGGTTCTACATTCACTGTAAAGCGCGGCTTATTGCTGTAATAAACATTTTTAGGGTCCTGAACGCTCTACTGTACTGAGTGTTACTGTGAGTCTCACTTGGTCAGCTGTTTCTCAGCATCGGCGCACAGCTCCAGCAAACCCATGAGAACCGCAGACACATCCATGTACGGCTCCCACACCGTGAACCCTCGGCCAATCAGATCGATCGCTGTGCGGCGGATGGTGCTGTGGGGGGGCAGTTTGGGACTGGGCGGCTGCAGAAGGAGAAACGTCAAGGCTTTACCTGCGAGGGAGACGGAGAGAAGGTTATTAATATCCATATTGACTGGAGACGTCTGCAGGTCATATTGATGCTCCGCTAATGCAGTCTCAGTCACGACACACATCAACATATTCTCACATGCACACTGCGCTCCAAAAGCCTGAGGACACATTAATGTGGCCGGCCAAATTTATATCATACCGTCCACATTTTGGGGGTCAGTATGATTAAAAAAAAAAGTATAATTTAATTCAGCAAGGATGCATTAAATGGATCAAAAGTGACATTAAAGACATTTATAATGTTACAAAAGATTCTATTTCAAATAAATGCTGTTCTTTTAAACTTTCTATTCATCAAATAATCCTGAAAATTAAAATGAATAAACTATTTTCAGCATTGATAATCATAAATGTTTCTTGAGCATCAGATCATCATATTAGAGTGATTTGTGAAGGATCATGTGACACTGAAGACTGGAGTAATGATGCTGAATGTTCATAGGAATAAATTACACTTTACTGTATATTCACATAGAAAACTGCTGTTTTAAATTGTAATAATATTTCACATTTTTGATCAAATAAACGCAGCCTTGGTGAGCAGAAGAGACTTCTTTCAAAAACATTAACAATCGTACCGACCCCAAACGCTAGTTTATATTGTATGGTTTTGAACGTTGTGTTTTGTGTGTCCATCCGCTCTAATGAGGGGTTTGTTCAGTCGGTCGCAGCGTCTACAACAACCACACATGCCGTATCCATGGCAACTGTCAAAATGTGTGGGAGGGGGAGGGGGCAAAGGTCACCAAGTGACCTGACACACACACACACACACACACACACACTAAAGCACCGTTCACACTGATGGCTATGTCACTGACGTTGCTAGTAGACGCTTCTACTCGCATCACTGCTCATTTGCACAAAGTTAAACTATTCTTCCCGTTGAAAAAAGAGAAAGAGCCGTGATTGTGTGTTTTGCATGCAAACTCATTTAAACACATTTATCTTGTGTTTTGTGTAAGAGAGAGAGAGAACACACTAAATCTGTCGCACATCAGCTGATCTGATCAATGTTTATGTTGTTTGTTATAGATCAACTGCTTAATAATCACACACGATTATCTGGATTTATCTTTGCTGCTCTCGGCCTCGGCAACAGGTCGCCGGGTAATTACCACTGCGCCGGAGAACAATGAGGTGAGGTAATTAATGCAGACAGATTCCAGCCAGAGCTTTCAGCAGATACTAACTTCATCTGTCTCTGTGTGTGTGTGTGTGTGTGTGTGTGTGTGTGTGTGTGTTCAGACGTGTGCTGGATTTCTTAAAGCTTCTGATTCACCTTTAAAGAAGTGAAAGATTTTTATTCCCATAGAAACGGATAGAAAAGTGAAACTATACCATTTTTGTTGTATGTATTGCTGCTTTAGAAGAAAAATGCATATGTATGTATTAGGGCTGTCAACATTAATGCGTTAACCCATGTGATTAATTCAAAATTCCTTAACACGTTAAAATAATTTAAAGTCCCCCTGTAGTCAATAATTGTATCCCTTAAAACTCATCTTTGATCACCAAAATTACATATTTAAACGTTTTTTTCCTTGAAAAAAAATCTTCATGACTTAAAATATCTTGAATGTAACTCGACACCCTTGCCTCATTTAGTATGCGCGGTTCTATGAATATGCATATGAGCCCCGCCTCCACTCACTCCCTCAGCTCAGAGATTCACTGGTTGACGATCACACGTTGATCTGATTGGTTACAAGGTCGTTTGTGACGTCAGAAACACCAGCGATTTCAAACCGTGTTTTTGAGACTGTCTTTGGTTCACTGCAGAAAATACTCAGCAATGCTGTCGACTTATGAATTACACATGGTTTGTCTTAAAGCGTATTAAAAACACCACATAGACACATAAACAACATTAAAAACTTGATTTTAGAAGTTGAGAGCATCTACAATCGTGCAAATTTCTATTCTGACCCTGTAACGATCAGATCATGTTACGCCGCTAAACTCCAGTAAAGTTTCAGTCCAATGATCCAGTATGCACATTCCTTCAAACAATCAGTCCAAAACAGCGCTAGCGTAAAGAAAACCAGGCTGATTACATCATCACAGATTGTAAAGTGAATAGAGACTCGCGTTGTGTTTCAGTGAATTACTCATCCCAGTGTGCGTTTCACTTTAAAACACGAGCTCTGTCATATTCTGCAACTGTTTCTGAATCCCTGTGTGAAATACAGACCGCTACGCAAACTACGTTTTTCGGCTGGATTAAGCAAGTTTTGATGGATGAGGATTGTAATCAAGGTACAGTAAGCTTGCGCGAGTCCGTTATATTGATGTGCAAACAAACCGTGTATGTATTGATCACACATTGTATTTAAGCACAGAGACTTTTTCAGTACATTCACGTTGTTTCCACACACATATAATGGGATGATGTTTTGATTAGTCACGTGTTTAGTAATTCTGAATGGATCCGCGTACTGTAGGTCCAGGCTGTGGGTTTAGGGTTTTGTGGCGCCTCCATGTGGTCCTGTTGGGTATTGCAACTTGACTAGTCTAAAATGTAAACAAGCTCTTTTTTACTGTGAATTAGGAAGTTTTTTTTTTTTTCAGGGGTGCTTTGGTGTGCTTAAATTTATGAAATATATTAACTCCTTACATAATTTGGTTATTTGGTGTCCTTTTGGAGTCTCTAAGAGTGCTTTTTTTGGAAAGACACCTACATTTACCTTGAAAAAAGCTTGCAGAAAATAGTTTTGTGTGAAATGAACGTGTTAAACAAGATAAATGGTATATGCGTAATTTCACAACAAAGATTGTATCTATTGACAGCCCTTCTATGTATATATGGTGTTAGAAGTTGGTCTAGAGGTATGAGTCTCGCTTTAGTGCAAGACGTCCCTGGTTCATATCCCGGACGAGCCCCCACATTTATCATGACAGGCTCAAACAAAAGCCAAAATCAAACACAAAGCATCCGGGAGCGAGCTCTAGCTCAACACTAAGCTTTTCTAGAGGAAAGAACAGGTGGACATCGTTCTCTTGATGAGCCTCCTAGACACACACACTGGCCGACCGTAGTATGAAGAGTAGGAGACCGTCACAGTATCGCCCGCTCAGTGTGTTTGTGTTGGTCAGACAGACACACACACACACACACGTTTACTCAGCGTGGGGACATTTTATAGACATAATGGTTTTTATACTGGACAAACTGTATATTCTCTCCACACTAACCCGACCCCTAAACCTACCCATCTCTCTCTCACACACACACACACACACACACACACACACACACACACACACACACACACACACACACACACACACACACACACACACACACACACACACACACACACACACACACACACACACACACACACACACACACACATCACACACAACTTTCTGCATTTGTAAATTTTCAAAAAACCTTTAATTACTTTATTTTTATACCAGATGCACAAATGAGGATGTCCCCTCAGGTTTTGGTCACTTCTGGGTCCAAAAGTGTCCCCAAAATATAGTTAAGTAGCTAAACACACACACCCACACACACACACACACGTTTGTTTTGCTATACTTGTGAGGAGATTATGCGTAATGGTGCAAACTGTCTATTCTATTTCCCTACACTAACTCCTAAACCTACCCTTCACACACACACACGCATTTTTAATAAAACACTGTGTAATACCCATGTCATTATACAAATTCCTGTCCTCATAAATCACAAAAACAAACATACACACACATGTCTGGTTCTATGTGGGGACTCTCCATAGACGTAATGGTTTTTATACTGTCCAAACTGTATATTCTGTCCCCTTACACTAACCCGACCCCTAAACCTACCGACTTATGAATATGAACACACACACACTGATCTGAACTCCGGGTGTCTCCTCGTGACCGGACTCGTCCCGCCTGTCGTTCCAGTCGTATCAAACCTCCCAGTTCCCTGAACCACGACACCTCTTCCCCCAGCGCTCCGGGACAGGCTCTTTGTTCTGCATGTTCCCGAGCGGAGCGGGAGCTTTAAGAGCAGTGCGGTTTGTACACTAAACACACACTGCACCCGGACTAATCCAGCCTTTGATTCTGCAACACTGCGGCACAAATCCAGCGGAGAGATGTGTGAGTTTAACCTTAAACACTCAAAGACTTCAGCGCTGCTCTTAAAGTCTCGGAATAAACTCGGATCATTAAATCTCCTGATGAGATTTAGTCAGGATTACTTGATTAAACTCTCCGTGAAATTTATTCATAAAAGCATCGTTTAAATTATCACATTCATTTCAATGCGATCACTTATGATTAATGAATAATTTACACAGAAATTTTTCCCTAATGTCTTAAAAAAGTAATCAAAGGCTGATGTGCCACTTTTCTTTTTCTCAAACGACTTTACACTTCCTGTTTAAAGGGATAGTTCACCCAAAAATTAAATTAGCCCATGATTTACTCACCCTGAAGCCATCCTAAGTGTACATGACTTTATTCCTTCAGACGGATACAATCGAAGTTATATTAAAAAATGTCCTGGTTCTTCCAAGCTTTATAATGGCAGTGAATGGCTGGAGAAAATTTGAAGCCCATAAAAGTGCATTGATCCATGATAAAAGTGCAACTATCCATGATAAAAGTGCATCTATCCATCATAAAAGTGCATCTATCCATGATAAAAGTGCCTCTGTCCATCACAAAAGTGCATCTATCATCATAAAAGTGCATCTATCCATCATAAAAGTGCATCTATCCATCATCAAAGTGCATCTATCCATCATCAAAGTGCATCTATCCATGATAAAAGTGCATCTATCCATCATACAAGTGCGTCTATCCATCATAAAAGTGCGTCTATCCATCATAAAAGTGCATCTATCCATCATAAAAGTGCATCTATCCATGATAAAAGTGCCTCTGTCCATCACAAAAGTGCATCTATCATCATAAAAGTGCATCTATCCATCATAAAAGTGCATCTATCCATCA